ACCGTTCGGTCTTCTTCTCCACGTTATCAATGACGGAGCCCAGGAAGCGCGACTCGAAGCCCACTCCACTGGCGTTGGCATACATCTTGAAGTCGAATAGCGATCCCTGGCTAACAGTGGGCAGGATGTGCAGGTTGCTAATTCGCGAAAATATCTCCTCATCGACCAGCGGCAGCAGAGCGGTGCAAACATTTAGACAGCTGGAAAGCAGACCGACTGGCGGGCACTGGACACTCTTAAACTTGTGCAGCAGATCAACGCACATCTCCGTGGGATGAACCATTTCGGCGCTGATGCCGGAAATTGACTGGCTGAGCTGGACGGCGCTTTCTAAAAATCTTAGACCAGCTTCCACATGACGGATGCGCTCGCTAGAATCAAAGTCACCATGTAGGTGACCTGTTTCCCTTAGCAGGCAGTTTATCTCGTGGTGCAGCGCATCGAAGAAATTAACCTGGGTGCGAAAGTGCATAAAGCAGCCGGAGGGATGTTGGACGGCGGTGCAACTGGTTCCAGCGGGTATGGTAAAGTCGATTCGCGGAAAGGGACGCACACTGGCTATAAGCTCGAATTCATCCGTGTCCACCTCTCTGAGTTTGTGCTGATTCTCGTCGTAAAGGAGAGCCAGTATGGGCAGGGATTCCAGCTGACTTTTAACCTGTATGAAAGGTTTAATTAATTAAGATAGTGCCTTAAACTATAACAAAGGGATAGCCTACATAATTTCCTTGACCCGCTTTAGTCAGCGATTGTGCCAGTTTCGAGAGGTGTGTAAATTCTAGGGGAAAGTTCTCCAAAAGAGTTTTGTACAGCGACCGCGGACCATCATCTGTAAAAGAAAGATTTTGTAGTATAAAACATACTTAAGAGTATAAGTACAATTCTTACCTTCCCGATTGCAAAAGTCTTTAGCCAAGTGCGGCCAAGAGACGAGTTCGCAGAGCAGTTCGTAGATGCCTTCATAGCGGGCACAGCTGCCGTCGCCATCGAAAAGGTTGCACATGTAACCCACCTGGTTGTAGATGGTCTTGCGCACAATCCGCGACAGCATCGAGTCATCGGCGTACATGGAATGCCGGGCAATTAGGTGCAGTTGGACAAAGCACTTCAGATCTACGGCTCGCTTGCCCAGCTGCCGGCAGCGCAGCAAACTGGAGGCGTCATCGGCATCGTTGGTGCCTCGCAGGCGAAGCAGCATCCAAACGAGTAGCAAGGGGCCGTGCTCCGGCCGATGGTGCATGCTGGCAATGTCCACCTGCAGGTCTTCAATCAGTTTCTCTATCAGATTGGTATGTTCCTCCGGCTTCTCGAAGTCCAGGCACTTCAGAATGAGCACCAGCTCGGAGTAGGTTAGGCTGCGGATTAGCTCCTGGTGATATGGTTGGCTGTCTTCCAGATAGTTCTGTATCTTTCCGAAAGAGTGCAGCTTGCAGGCGGCGAATATCCTCTTGATCTGCTCCAAGCCCATGGGCAGGTGTTCGGCCAGCAGGAGCAGGATGTGCAGCACCTCGTTGATCTCGCGGGCGTTCCGCTCCGACCAGGCAATCAAACGCTCCGCGGAGTGGAAGCACTCGCCAGCCATCAGCTTCCTGGGCGGCAGTTCGCTGATCAGGCTCTCCAGCTGCTCCAAGTATGAATCTCTGAGACGGGCGAGTGTAATCTTCTCCACGACGGCGCGATACTCCTGGTGGTAGGGATGATTCGGGACCCGGTGGAACACAATCAGGTTCTTAACGATCTTCAGGACAATCATGCGTTCCAGCGAGTAGTAGTGACGGATGTCCTCGTGCAACTTGGCCATATTGGTCTCGGTGGAGATCAGCTGGGTGAGCAGGCTGGCCGAGCCGCGGTACTCCTGGGTGAGGTAGTAGCACAGAATCTCCCAGCACTGCGCGGATTCCAGATCTAGCAGATCCTGCAGGCGCTCGGTGAAGGGCAGCAGCTTCTCCTGCTTCTTCTCCTTGAGCAGCGTGCCCAGCTGGACGTTGGAGGCGCTCTTGGCCTTGAATTGGAGCACCCCGGCCTGCAGCTCGGTGGCCACGTTCATCAGTTCCTCGCGAACGGTTTCCTGGGGCGTCTCATAGTGGATTCCGGAGACCATCTGCCACAGGCGCTTCCAGTCGGTGCTACGTATTAAAGGCGATTACATTGGGGCATCTGTTACTTCGGCACTTCAGCTACTTACATCACGCTTTTCTCCACCGCGGGCATTGTCTTAATTCTCTTAACAACTACAATTTATAATTATTTAATAACAAATAGTATTCCACGCGCAAATTCGCGGCATCGAGTTGCCACCTGGCACAACAAAAAGCCGGGATAACCAGCTGGTAGCCCCAAAAGTATATCGATAAAACGATAGCTCGTTCTGAAAATGTCCGTTAGAAAACTGAAAAACTTAAAAAAAAATGCACTTTAATTTTAAAAAAATATAACGATTTAAAAACAAGTAGGTTAATGTTAATTTGTATGAGTATTTGCTTTAACTTGAGAACAAAAAATTTAAAAAAACTTACTGTTGCATGATGAAAAATAAAATGACGGAATGATTTTTAAATTAGTAAATTAAAAAAAATTACAATAAACAAATAAAAATTAACAGGCATAGATGGGTTAAAAAAGAAGAAGTATTGTTTATCAAAGCTTTAACGTTAGTGATTTTTGTTTAATTTGTGAGGCGTAAATTGCTTGTATAATTATAATTATTGTTTAATTTAATTTCAATCCAAAATATTGATGCCCTTCTAGAAGTCGATTAAGTTTTATCGGCAGTACAGCAAAGTAATTTCCATTGTCAGGTGAGGTTCGATTTATTTGAGTGGTAATCCTTAACTGTTCTCGAACTTCCAGTGCTGTCGGACTAGAACTATTTAGGTTAGACTTTCCAACTGTCCAGTTATTCCAGTGAGGCTGTGGCTGCGGCTAACAGACCTGCGAAGTCAGAGTGCAAAGTGCGCAGATGCTGCACTCCACCACCCACCGAGCCTCCCGACCACCGCCCAGCCACCCCGTTCTAGAGACCCACTCCTGGGAAACTAATACCACTACTCCTTGGCTAGCCGCAGCTTCCCCATCCTTTCCAGATCTAAGAGCGAGAGCGGAGCGGAGAGAGCGCGAAGAGAGTAGGCGCACACGAAGTCCTCGACGCCTGGAAGCTGCAGCCCGAAAATCGTCCTGTTAGAACGAGAAAACTATTGGCAGGCGAAAGGTCTAATAATCACTTATAGGCTGGCAGAAAAGCAGATTATACCCGGAAATCCGACAGTCCGAATGGCGCAGGTTCAGCTCAACGGAGGCAATGGCCAAACCCCAAGCAACGGGAATAATCTCGAGGATAACGAACGTAAGTCCTCTGCTTGGTTAATAAAATCAAAATAGGAATTTGAGTGTTTGCCAGAAAAGTGCACAAGTATTGGTGTGCACAAGCCTAGACGAAGCACATATTTACATACATAGTGAGTGTCATGTATCAGGACATAGCTATGTATGTATGTATCATACATGGTGTATGTCAGCGGCAGCTAGCATCTTTGACATAGCTAGGATGCTTTTTGGCCTGGCGTTGGGTGGTAGCTTTAAAGAAAAAGAGACAGAGAGAGAGAGCAGGATAACAGAGAGAGAGAGAGAGAGAACCGGGAGAGGGAAAAAGGATGCTGCGAGAGAGCCAGGGTTACCACCGCTGCCCAAAAGCAACAAGTTTAAATGTCTTTTCAAGTATTTACTAGAAAATAAAAGATTTAGGATTAGATTGCTTGAAGTTCCTATTTAAATCTTATTTTTCTTATTTTAAAATTCTATAAATCTAAAAATTTGTTATTTTTTTTATAATTTATTTAGCCTATCAAATAAGTGACGATGACTTGGACGACCTGGACGATGACTGCCTACTCGAGGAGGCGGAAACCTCGGGAGGAGCCAATAGCATGGGTCGCGGCCCCTACGAACGCGCTTGGACCACGGAGGCCACCAGAGCCCTGATTCACATACGCGGTCCCATGGAGGGAAGCTTCACAGAGGGCCGGTTAGTGGGTTTATTTGCTCCAATCCATCGATAGTTTGCTATAGAAACCCCTTATCAATTTCAGACAAAAACGCACAGCACTTTGGCTGCACTGCACCCGGCAACTGCAACGACTGGGCTTTCGCTACTCCGCCGCCAAGGTGCAGAAAAAGTGGCACAACATCCTCATCACCTACAACAAGAATCTGAGCAAGAAATACGTATCCGGCTATGTCCACTGGGAGTTCTTCGAGGAGATGTTCAAGTACTTGCAGGGCAAGAAGGCCGACTTTGATATGCAGCTGCCGCAGCAGTCATCAAATGGGCAACAGGCGGCGCCTCCTGCCAATGGACAAAACCCGACCCAAGGACTACCGCAGCAACCGATTCAGCTGCAACCTCAACCCCTCCTGAAGCCCGGAACCCCGCAAATGCATCTGCAAATCCAAACCCAGACGCCGGCCAAGGAGGGACAGCCGTATATCACGCCCGTGGACCAGGTCCTGCTGCAGGCGCAGATGAATCTGGACAGCAAGTCCAACGACGAGTTCGACGAGGATAGCAACAGCCTGTCGGAGGTGGTGCGCCAGCCCAAGATGGAGTACGATGGCGATCAGATTCCGGAGGCCGAGCGCACCAGCGATAGTAGCCAGCATCTGGAGGCCAACGGCAAGCTGTACGAACTGGGTCGACCCATGGGATCAGCTGCTGCTGGCGGTTCCGATGACATCTGGTGGAAGGACTACTTCGAGAGGAAACTGGAGGTGGAGCGCGAGAAGATGGAGCTGCAGCGGAGCTTGCAGCGCGAACAGGTGCAGATCCAGAAAATGTCGCTGGTGCAGCAGGAGCGGATCGAGCGGATGAAGATCGATGCCATCAACAGTCTGACGGCCACGCTGCAGAAGCTCGTGGAGGCCAAGTGCCGCAGGGCCTAGGCTAAAGCTGTTCCTAATCCCGATCCCTCCCAGTAACTCTTGATAACTTTAGGCTTCTATTTGTCTGTATCTAGTTGTGTGTGTAAATACAATTTCGGCCAACTAATCGGATTGCCACTCAATTTCGAAGATGCTGGCCAGGGAGGTCTCCTTGGAGTGAGGTTTCTCTAGGCCATAGCTTAAGCTCCAAATGTCCGTGGTGAAGATCAAACCCTCTCCCGCATTCAGGCGCATTCGGAGGCTTGGACACACTCCCCCATCGCAGGGATTCTTCGGACGCAGCACCATTTCAAAGTGACCACCCAGTTGCTGGACAAAGACCAAGCCACGAACGTATATCTCCGACTGCTTTCGCTTCTGCTGGTGGACTGCCAGTAGCCAGCTGGAATAATACGGAGCCAGGTGGATGGGATAGTAGTAGGGGCGTTCCAGGAACAGTCGAGAGGACTTTACTGCCTTCTTCTGGCAGTTTCTTAGCTGAAGGTGCCAATTATTTGTTGAGTGAATCTTTTCCAGGGCAGCCTCTAGGTTGAAAAGTTTTCTCAGCAGGAGGTTGGTAGACACATCACAGGGTTCACTGGACATCCACTGAGGAGACCTCTTCTCCATGAGCTCTAGGAGATTAGGGATATCCATACTCAATGCAGTATCTGTTATGATGACAGGTAGTCCACGTTCTAGGTATTCTGATTCCACAGAGGAGTAGCTTACATTCGAAGCAGTTGCAATTCCCTCTGTTGGAAAATAAAATAAATTATATGGGGGTATACTGATAAGAAAGAAGTGAATGTAAAGATTTCATATTTAATCTAAATATTTGTTGCCTTGTTTTTTAACTCATCTCATTAAACAGGGAAATATTAAATTATGTTTTTTTAAGTTTTTCGTTTGTTATTTAATATTTAACTTCGACAAGCAGATATTACATATTTAATCTAAATGTTTTTTGCCTTGTTTTCCATCTCATCTCATTGAACAGGGAAATATTAAATTTTTTTTTTAATATTTCGTTTATCATTTAATATTTAACTTAACCATTTTGTTTTTCACTATAGTGATTGTCAAACTCAACTTACCCAAACCTTCACAGAGCGCACAGTTCTGCCACAGAGTCTCATGTTTACCCAGTGGAGGTGGCAGCTCCTGGACACTCTGATCCCTTGAAATCAAGCACTTGGCATTATAGTAGGGTGTCCAATCCCAAAGAGGGAGGATCTGAATGAGCAGCAAACGGCCAATAGCACTTAAAGACCAGGAAAAAGTATCACTAAATGACCAAAGGAGATAAATGACGACCAGGGGCAATAGGACAAGGCACCATTTTCGAATCCTAGCCATGCGAATTCTCCAAATCAAAGGGCGACATATAGCCAGCATGTCCTTTGCAGAAAACTCCTGCCTTCGACACTCTTCGAAGAATACTTTCAGCTCCTCCTCCATGTTCTCAACGCTTTCCCAGTCAGAACTTCAATGAATCGTTTGTTAGCCACGAAATCCAACGGTTTCCTGGCCACGCACATGCGCGCGATAAGCAATTTCCCGGAGGAAACCTAATTTTCTAACTCATTGCGCGCCCAGACGTGCATCTTGGTGATAAGTGGCACAAAGGATGCTGCCATCAGTGGAGTGGAAAGTGAAAACATATTGAGCTTTAAATGTTTATTGGAGTAAATTGAAAAAAATATTAAATGTTCTGCTTGGGGGAGGTATTTTTTCATTGCGGGCTTTCAGATAAATTGGGGTTCCTTAAGTTTCTTTACATTTCTTCGCCGGAAGGAGGAGGACCACGAGGGGGCTTGCACTTGGTGAAGAACTCCTTCATATCGCTGCACTCCTGGGAATCATTTCGAATCGAGTCGGGGCAATTCTTCATGAGATTACGGAACACACAGCCCATTAGATGACCGGCGTCATGGGGACACATGGGGAATCCAGGTGGCGGAGAAGGAGCGGGACGAGCGGGTAAATTGGCCTCGAACTCGGCCACCTTGGTGGCGCAGGTGGTGAAGGCCTGGGTGGCTGTTGTCTGCAGATCGGAGCTGTCCTTGAACACCACCTGCAGATAGCTAGTCAGCTTTTCCTGATCGAGTTTCCGGTCTTGATAGATGCCGGTTTCGTTGAAGATGCAGGAGAAGAAGCACTGAAGAGGGGTAATCCTGGATTAAGTGATCCTAAAATTTTAATTAAGATGTACTACCGGTGGTGGGTGAGGATGGTGGTGGCGCCGCTTGCTCTCGAAGGATCCACTGGCCTCCCCATCCGTGGGTGGCGGCGGGGTCATGTCAAACTTTATGCACTTCTGCTTCAATTCGGCGGTCACAAAATCCGGCATGGGACAGCAGGTCTTGGGATTCACAAACGGTGGTCGCTTGCTGCAGTCCACGTCACCAGAAACGGCTGCATTCTGTTAATGGATTAGTTATAACCGCTCTTCAATCGCGTGATACCAAATCATCATACCAGGCAGAACCCGACAACGAGCAGTAATAGTTGCGATTTTGGAAGCATTTTCGGTTTGACGCCGCAATATGGAACTGATTCTCCAACCGACATGGGCCCTCAATTTATAGAACCCACCAAGCGGTCAGTCACTGATATATGATTATAATTATGTGGGTATATATATAACTTACTCACAGCGTGTGCAAATCAATTAACTTTTTTTGCCTATTCATTATAGTTCATTTGCAATTATTTCAATTGGCCAGCAACCCTCCAAAGGGCTTGTATATATCAGATTTATCAATCCACCTACCTTTCACACTCACTGTTGTAATTCTTTTGAAATTATCTAGGGGTTACACGGTGTTATTTAACTTACAATGCAAGATTACAGCTTGTTTCCACAACGGATTCCCTTCAGACAGATTAAATGAAATAATTTGAACATGTTTTTATAAAACAAATTAATCCAATAATTACATTTAATGCGACACTAAAAAATTGTGAAATACTGGTGGACATGACTAATGGGTAAACAAATTAAATGGGTCTATTTTCGGGGGGGATGTGATTCATAAATCCCCCGGCTCGCAGAAATTCGTTTTAATTTGCGCTTGGTACTACCAACTATTTAATGTACAGGCAGCTTTGCAATGTCGATTCAGTTCACCCCTTGAGGGTCAGTTGCGTCACGGCCTCTTTGACGGTGGGATATTGAAACTTGAAGCCGGAGGAGATGGCCTTCTGGGGCTGGACTTTGGCTCCGTTTAGAACCAGGGCAGCCCGCTCTTTTCCAAAAATAGCAAGGACCACAAACTCGGGGACGCTGAAGATGCAGGGACGATGGAGGGCTTTGGCAAAGGCCTGGCAATAAAGGATATTATTATTATTATTGCTATTAATAGGAAACTAGGGGTTCCTACTTTGCTGAACTCCAGATTGCTAGCTATTTCAGGAGCCACCGCATTGACCACTCCCGGCACCGGTTTCTCTATGATGTACTGTATCAAGCTGCACAGGTCGTGAAGATGGATCCAGGGCATTATTTGCTTGCCACTGCCAAAGGGACCTCCTACGCCCAGTTTAAAGGGTAGCCACATGGACTGGATCATTCCACCGCCTAGGCCCACAACAGCACCGCATCTTAGAATGGTCTGGAAGGGATTAGGGGGTATAGTAATGGGGTAATTTAGCTGGGATTGTCCATGAGTAACCTACGCATTTGCAATCCTGTTCGTCACCCGTGCGGGCAGCCTCCTCCCAGGCCAGGCACAATCTGGACATGTAGTCGAATCCCTGCACCTTGTCCTCCTCGCTGTAAACCTTGGACTCCGAGGGCGGATAGTGACTAACGCCGCAGAGATTCACAAAGGAGGTGACCTGGGGAGCCGACTTAATAGCCTGAGCCAAGGTTTTCGACGAGTTGATGCGCGAGTTCCACACATTTTGCTGAAAGCCTGGGGTCCAGCGCCTCGTCGGGTCCAGGGTGTTCTGACCCGTGGCATTTACCACGGCGTTAACAGTCCCGGGAATACCATTCTTCTCCAGCTCGTGCCAGGTGATGCGTTTTGGACCTGGCATCCTGGAGATCACCGTCACATCGTAGCCCTTTTGGGTCAAATGTTTGGCCAGATTGCGGCCAATGAAGCCGGTGCCGCCACCTGAGCGAGAATCCGGGTTAGTGCGCCTGCCCACAGGCCGTGGATTCCACCTTTGAACGTACCTATAAGTGCGTGCCTCGACATTTCCGGCCGAATCTTAAGACTTTTTGCAAATTACGACACTCCGCAGAACGTAACGTAAACAAAACACAGCTGATTTTGCAGTAGGTTGCCAGACCACTGCGTTTGAATGGAAGATTCCGAGTGGCCACTCTTTTGAAATTAGTTAGCCATGGCGCGAAAAATTAAATTTTGAAAGTATTGTAGGAGCTTTAAAATTAATCTTTATATTATGGAAAAAGGTGGAAAGGGGGAGAAGGGAGCGTAATCTAGGAAGAATTCTAAGCAATATTGTATTATCTAAGAAGAATTCTAAGCAATATTGTATTGTATTGTATTATCTAAGAAGAATTCTAAGCAAATTGCAAAATAAACTATTTATTAAAAGCCACGTTTGACCCTCCGCATTTTCTGACGCTATACATTATCACATTCCCTGACTAGTCCACTAAATTCCTGTCAACAAAACTGGGATAGGAGCATCTTTTTGTCCTTATTTGTCAATTAAATTTAATTTATTTTAAATATTATAATGAATTAAATATAAGATACATGTATGGAAATATCAATAAAATGACTTGATTTCCTTTTGCTAAACCAAAATAGAAGTCACCCATTTGGGTTAATCAAAAAAGGACTGGAGTGATTTACTATCGTAAATATTCAATGACTTTCGGGCCGCCGTCTGGAGAGGCTTTTAGTGTCACTCCCGCACAGCATTTAAAGTGCACCGATAAGCGAAATAAAGGGCAGACACTAAACTTAAATTGCAATACGCTTATCACTTTAAGTTGAGCGTTAAAAGGAGCAGCCCCGAGATCCCAATAAAAGCGCAAATTTCGCATAAAACGCCTTTAGCCAAGTATAATACAAGTGGCTATGACGCTTTCACTCCGCCAGCAGACTTATATGTATGTTTAAATATATATATATGTCGGTGGATATATAGACAGACATCGGGCAGACGCATGGGGCCAAGTTAATGGCCAAGTTCAAGTGCAGCAGACGACATAACGTCATATCCTTTGGTTCGCTGCGTCGTGTTTTGTTTTCGTGGCAAGTCATTGGAAACTCATTTGCATACACAGTGCTGGCTCGCATTAACCGACCACCACTTTCTCCTCCCGCCACCGCCTCCTCCCTCACCAAAGTGGGCGTGGCTGTCTTTTTGGGTAAAGAATTTGCATTAAGCACTGCAATTATTGCGCTTCATTGAGTGAGAAGGGCGTAGTGATGGCGGAATAAAAAGGATCTGGGGCCATAATTACGAAGTCTGTCGCGTTTATCTAGTCCTGCAATCAGGCAGTAATCACGTACAGCCAGTTGAATAACGGCCACCGAGCGTGCATAATAGTTTGGGGGAGAAAAAAACAAAATATTAGGTTGATATTACTATCAGGATATTTAAATGTGGAATTTTTTGTTTTAGTCTTATAATAAAGGGATTTTGTGTTTGTTAATTAAGAACACTTCGGTGTAAAAATAGCTTAAAAAAAGTTTAAAAAAATCCATATTTATGGAAAACACGTGTTAAGTTGTTATAACAAAAAAACAGAAAATCATAAATTAAAACAGTTATTATAAATGAATTAAATGAAGTAAATTGATGATTAATCAAAAAACATAAAGATTCAAATTAAATATTAGTGCTTAAAATAAAATATTTTCAGATAAAAGTATTCATGCTAAGTAAAAATTATTTCCTATGGGCAATATTATATTCATAATATACTTAAATCTTATTAAAATAAAAAATTATATTATAAATTACCAAATACCATTTTATTTATGAACAGAGTTTTGGTGCATTGAATGAAATCTTGAAATTTCTGATAAATAATTGTTATATCTTTTTTACTACGTATTGAAGTGACACTCATCACCGATACTTGAACGTGGGTTGATGGGTTCCGCCAATAGAACTTTAAAATCCACGGTGCTCTTGCTAGTGACACTTGTCGCTGATAAAAACAGGAGTGGAGCGTTGTGGAAAAACTTTCTAGACAAAAGGAAAATATGGAAACGATGATGGAAAGGATCTGCAGCAAAAGTTGTCTCGTGTCTCGCTGTTTGAGTTGCACTTCCGGTGCAAATGTGGATACACAGATACAGATACTCGGCTTGTATCTTTCGCACACTGTCGGTTTGGGGGACAAACTTCTTTGTTTGTTTTATTGACAAACGGACTGAGCGACAGAGCCACAACAAAGTTGCAAAGTCAATGGCACAGCATGGACGAAAATCGGAATATGCATCCAATATGCACCCATCCACATCCACCCACCGGAGTGATTTGTGTAGCATGTGGGTGGTGCTGGCATGGATTGCAATCCACATCTCACTGGCCATTGACACACCACAACACATCGCAACACACACTCCCTGACAGTTTTATGTGCGGTCTGTGTCGCTTTTTTGCCGCCTTGCGGTTTGGATAGTCTGGCAGGGATTGGGGATTGGGAGTCGGAGTGAAGAGCGGGATCGGGATTAGCCGGGTCTGACAGTTGGTCACCTCGGTGGCACAGCATAAAACTTAATTCTGTCATAATTGCGATGCAGCTAACAAGTTTTGTAACCCAAACTCGACGTGGCTCACAGAAAAAAAAAGATCGCTTAATTTGATAACCGTAGCAGCAGAAAATAAAAATACAATATTTGTTTATATTTAAATTATTTTTTTAAAAATGAAATAAACTTAAAAAAAATGAATATGTAAATTATTTTTGATAGTTTTAACTTTTAAGCGATAAATCATAATTTAAATGATACAAATTACTGCAGGCGTTTAAAAACCCTTACATATATTCATATATTTTATACGTTTGTTTATTGAGGTTGAATGTTATTATTAATTAAATATTCTTTGATATTCAATCCTAATATTATTTAAGTATAAATAAATTTAAATTGTATTTAAATAAAAACAAATTTACCTAAAATCAAGACATCGGATTTAATAAGGGAAACATTTTTATAAAACAAAAGCATTGTTTGTTTTCGCAATAATTTCATATTTTATCTTCACACTAAGAAACAGTTTATAAAAAAATCCGAAATAATGTTCTGTGCACTGATAAACCGAACCGTAACTTATGCAACTTGCGGGCAGCTGGTTTTTGGTTTTTAAATAATTGAAAAGCCCAGAATGCAGCAAAGTTCAGGGTTCAAACTTTTCCCCAGCCGGCCAGAGACAAACTGAGTGGAAAGTTTCGTTGATTGCTCTTGACGTTAATTGAAATTTGGCCAGGCCAGGCCAACTAATTGGCATTGGCCAAGGTGTTGCGATGCTGTGGTTATCTCCATTACATTAGTTGGCCTGCTCACCCCCGGCAAATTACCCATAATTGAATTTGTAGCTCGAATTCCTCTGACCTCTTGGTTTTTTGCGACGTTCCTCTTGGTTTTTCTGCGACTTGTTTAAAGGAAAGTTCAAAAGCATCATAAACAATCTGTGGAGCGCACATATCGCGCAGACAATTTGTCTGCCACGAAATATAAAACTGGGTCAGACGAAAAGGCGGCGCCGCCGAAAGATTGCCGCAGACAGCGTCTTGGTGGTCGCAAATCCTCATCCTCATCCTCCCAACCCATCCAATTCACCCATTCCATTTGCGAATTTGTGACGCATCTTCCTCCGATTTTTCGCCACGAGGTAAGGCGAGAAGTCAGCGATGTGGGTCAAAAGTCACGGAGCGCCAGTTTGTCTCATAAATTTTAAGAACTTTGCGAGAATCAAGGTAGATGTTTTTGTACTTTTCCCTTTTACGAGGGAAATGTTTTTCCGCTTTTCCCATTTATTCCACCATTACCCGCTATAATTAGCTGCTTAAGAGACTTGAGTTCTTCAAAGGCACTATTTTGTCAAGCGGATGCTGCCTAAAAGGATCTGCTCTTCGCGTTTCTGACAGTCGGGATCACCCGGGCAGCAGATCAAAGGGAAAATGCTGGAAAATCGAAATTAGATTGGACTCGGCGTGGCTGACGTTTTCTCTACAATATGAATAATGCAACTGGACGGAACGGTCGCATATCAATTAATGGAAAAGCGAATTACGATACTTGGCCAGCTACTTGGCACTCACCCACTTTCCCGCTTTCCCGGCTCGGCACTAAAGAAACTCGTTATCCATCAATATCGCTGATAGCCACAAACGGTGAATGGCTAAGATTGAAACTCGGAGACTACAACAAAATGCACCTGCAACGCTGAAAGACAAGCCGGCGGCACTGGCGACTTTGATATGTGTGTATAAAATGATTGCGATGTGCGGCAAGTGGGTCCACTTTTACTGCCCCAGACTCACCTGTTTGAGCTTTGGCAAAGGTCTGCAGTCCTCACTCCCGATTTCAGTTGGCTATTTCGAGGAGATCTGGCCCATGGACCATGCCCCACTCATCAATCAAAGGCAGTCGAAAGGGCAAGTCAGGCTGCCGGAATGCCTAATTGCAGCTTCTGGTCAATTGTCGCCAAAACTTGTACATAAGTGCACAGGGAAAAATTCTTTATGGTTTATACAACTTCAGATGACTTTGAAAAAAGTAAATTGTATTTAAACAATTAAGGTAAATGTTTATTAACTGATTTAAAAGGTTTTTAGCCATTTTACTCAAAAATGGTAGAGCCAATAATATAAATATAAATATACCTTATTAAAATTAAAATACATTAATGTTTTAAATCTTTAGATATATAAAGAATATAAAGAATAATTGAAAGATTAAAAAATCTTATTAAGGGCAGAGTAAATCCTTCTTTGAACCTCTACATAAAAAATATATTTTTTGCTAGTAAAAAATTGTTTTTAAATTTTTCTCATAACATTTATTAAAGTAAAAATCTAAGCAATGTAAACAAATATGTAATCAAATGTTTTGAAATAAAAGAAAAAGGGACTTAAGAATTAAAATATGAACTTTCGCTTTCAACAATGTATTTTTCCGTGCAGCAGCTGTTCCCTTTAAAATCCTTGTAAATTGCTTTAATTATTTAGGCATTTTTACAGCATATTCAAGTGACAAAGCAGCCTCTTTCCGACGACAAAGGCAGCTGAACAGGAATAATTCACACCTGCAGCCGGCCTACGTGCAATTATTGACGTTCAGTTTGGTAATAAAATAAGTCCCGGCCCGGCGACCTGAAATTAATTAGGCTTTTAATATTTATGCTTTTTATGTTTTGCATTTGGTGGCGACAGGTCGCCAAGGACGCGAGTGACAGGGAACTCGGGTCTGAGTAAAGGTCCTACGAGTAAGGACTCTGTCCTAGGACTCGCGTTCGTGCATGCGGCCAATTAATAAGCCAGAAATGCGACCGTTAATTCAAGGAGTCCGACGCGCTGTCCTGCGAAAGGGTGCAAGATAAGTATCTATTATAAATATTCATAATATATGTCGGCGGCAAGCACAGACGACATTAAGCCGTGTCCGACAAGTCCGACGGTTCCACTCCCAGTCCCATTCCTGCTGCTGGTTTTATTGAAGGAGCCGCAGCCTTTCAGCCGATTCCACTTTCCATGTCGTCGGGTCCCCAGGCATTGCTCCATTCATAGGCCCATGCTATTCTTCATCTATATCAAACTAGACAGCAGAAAGGAGGCCTTTCATTTGCTTCTGAGGCCACCCAATTCCTGGGGCGTAGAAATCAGATTTAATCAGATTGCTATACTATCAAGGCGTGTACTGCTTTATGTTTCGGATATTACTTTTAGAAAAACCCATCAGAAATACTTTTGTATATATTATTGAAATAATTTATAATATCCAGTCAAGTTGATGTATATCTAATAATTTTTAATTATAAACAAGAATTAATTTATGCTTATAAGATAACTTATTGATGAACTTTCATACACTTCCTTCAAAGGCCAATGAAACCGATCCTACAATTACTTAGCAAAAATTAGGGTCCGGTAGCTAATTTCAGACCACCGATATGTGCAATATTTCAGCCTCAAAAATATGTTTTTCGGCCCGAAATGGGCTGCTACTTTCACTCGTCTCGTTATTCGGTTATCGATACACAACAATCGCGGCAATCGACGTTGAAGCAATGAAATTAGCGAACCGCAAACAAGACTTCAAATTACCCGCATTCATCCCGAATCAGATATTCGCACCAGGCTGTCAGATTTCTGGGAAAGTCGGGGGGAGTCGGTGCAAAAAATATATTTATATGTACGAGGTTTGGATCGTATCGATTGCAATCGACAGCCGCTCACAATGGATCAGATCAGACGGTAAATCAGGAAGGCAAAGAAAGAGACTCGGGAGACTGGGAGATTTCAAGAGGTGGAAAAGAAAGAGCAATTGCAGCGAGGCAAACATCCGCATCTCCATCTCTGCCTCTTCGCATGGCACACTTCCAACTGTGGCGCATAATTAAAATGCAACATAAATAAACATAAGCATAAACATACATAAAGCTGTGATAAATTGGCCAGCGACGCAGCGGAAATGTGCGTTAATCCAATTAAATGGGCCATTTGCATGGCTCAGTTGCGAAAATGTTGTTCATTAAAATGGCCAATACTTGGCATCAAATTCAATTTAAACGGTGCAGCTGCAGTTTTGGCAAAGGACTCTTGTTCAGTCGGGGTCGAGGGTCAATTCCGGATTTGGGACAATGTCCTGCCGCCAACTTATCGTCTAGTCTCTGTTTCTGTCTTTGACCAGTTTGTTTGTTTGTTTTGGCCAACACTCGGGCTCTTTGTTTGGGTTGTTTGAACCTCAGGCGGTTTTCTTGTCACGGTGGTTACTGCGTCTTTTTTGGATACAGTGAAGAAAAAAGCTTTAAATGTTGTAAGAACAAAGAATTAAAAATTTTAAAACGTTTTAAAAAAAAGGAATTTCTATATATATATATTAAAACTGTATTAGTAATATTCTTAACGAAAAGTGTGAATTTCAATACTGTGTGTGGACAGAGCGGCGGCAGAAACATGGTAAATCTAGAAAATCTTTACTATTAACGTACATAATTTGCTTGTTTTTTTGTCTGCATCATGTAAACATCCATTAAGCAGCGATTTGAACAAATCAAAGTCAGCAGCAGACAGAAGTGGGACTTCCCTGCCATATCCATACCCCCGATGCGAGTGGCACGTGCCGGATGGATGATAACACGGGCACAGAGGCCGAATCCTTGCAAATAAACTGCAGCGTAATGGGGCCCATTGTACAGTGCAAACACTGTTTACACAGACGCCAGTCACCCTGGGGAATATATTCGTATGTACGTACTTCTTAAGAAGCAGGGATGGGGGCGAACGCGACCCCCCTGAAAAGTTTAACTTGTTCAATTTGCATGAGTCGCGGACCCAAGTATAAACGATACTCTACCCGAAAAACTTTGTCCATAAAGCAGCTACAAAAGCAGACAGAACCCATGGACAGAGGGGAATAATGAGCACGCGTCCCTTTGTCACCATCACGACACATATTCCATGTCCATGTCCTTTGGCTGTTGAGCCGCCACCAAAGCAAACGGACACGTGCGTCAAAAAGACAAGGGAGGTGGTCAAGAAAAATGTACAGGGGTTTAAGCAACCCGAAAATTTAAAAGCGGCTTTAAAATATTGAGTTTGGAATTTATTTTTCAAATAATTATAACTTTTAATATTCAGTTTCTTTCTCGTTCAAATCAGATCTTTGTAAAAACCCCTTAAAAAATTCTTTATATACTCCCCTGCAGAGAATGCTGGATTGGTTGGTGAGGTGAGATTTCGTATTGGGGTGAAGAACGCCTGCTGATGGATTGTTTACAAGAAGCCGAGTCCTTTGAAAACGCTTTCTAATGGCCGGCTTTCAGTTCTTGCAGGGCTTCTTTCGTTGACCTTGGCTGCAACCCTGGTAATGCCTGGAAATTTGCATATTACGCATTCGTTTTGAAGATGGCAACCCTCCTGTGGTGACAATTAATTTCGTACAGCTCATTAGGCGAGAAACTTCCTCCAAGGGTGGCTTTATATTATGGATTTTAAAACCTGTCATTCCAGAAATGGGGGTTCATAAAAGTTACTATCTTGGGTCCCTTCTGTTTTGGTATATTCTATTAGCGAGGTGGTAAGGTCAATTAGGCAATTTCACGCTGGCAAGGCTGTACTTCAGCAAATAAATGCAATTCTGTGGGTGACAGGCGAAAGAAGAAGCACGTTGTAAACCTTAAAATTCAGGAAAAATATGGAAAAAGTTCCGAAAACCATTAAGAGGGAGAGCCTCAGCGATGAGGACTTTATCCTGGAGGAGGACCCTTCCGAATTGGAGGTGGAAAAGCCGGAACATAGCGGCAGTTCCAATGGGGAAAGCGACGAGGAAGGTCAGCGGGATCAAAAGAAAGTGGACTCCATCATCGCCGAGATGGACGAGAAGAAGGACAAGGAGCAGGAGGCGGCCGGTGGGCAGGACAAGGAAAGCGAGGAGGACTTGCGCAGGATGTACGGTGAGTGGTTCTGTCGAGGTTACAACTTTATAAATATCCAGAAACTTCTCACAGAACTGAGTCTCCTTTCGCCGGCTGCCATGGCAGCCCACATCCAGCGCCTGGAGAAGGAGCTCTACGAGCTGAGCCAACGGGAAGCCAGGGAACTCAACCGGAGTAAACACCTGCGCATCTTCGGCAACTCCCGCCGTCGCTCGAATAAGTGAACAAGTGGCAAATCTGCTTACACATTATACTGCGTTGACTTTGATGGTATCAAATAAAGGGTCGTCAACGAAAGTGACTCCATATCTTTTCCATTTCCAGTGGCAAAGACACATAGCTCCACATGGCCCAAGTGGCCAGATGGGCGAGAGCCGGCGCAAAGTCCCATGAAAGCCGCTTATAGGGCTTAATTTCTGAAAATGGACATGCCATCGACATTCGCCCACGACTTTGGCTCCACCTAAAGCCAACTACAGTGGAACTTCTTTAGCTTGACTACATAAACTTATGCATTATCAAAAAAAGATTATCACTCTTAATCTTCATAGGCATTTCACATTTGTTTCTAATATCTTTATCTTTATTTTTCAACTAAAATCCGTTATAGTTTTTGGTTTGAAGAGATTTCTGTAATTTCCCCGTATATATTTGAAAAGATTTATTTTTTAAATTTTAAGGCATTTGATCAACTTTTCGAAAACGCGAAATTACGTATTAGATAATAATATCTCTAATTTCTCGTTATTTCACTGTTTTCTTAAGTATTTGTTTGTAGAATCGTAATAGTGGAACAAAGAGATCTATATCTAATTTCATAAAATTAGCATGAAACTTATTAAAGTAAAAATAAAGAATTAATAAATTGTTTTTCTTTTTAAAAAACAAAAATATAATACATATTTTTTTCTAGTAATTAAGTAGTGAGTAGTTCCCCTGTACTAACTAGGAAGTGCACATGGCATATGATGGGTGGGGACAGTGCGTCTGGGATTGGGCATTAATCGTGCATTAGAGTCCAGTGCTTAGATGGCCGGAGCTGTGGCATCCGCTTCGATGGGCTTCCTGTGCGCTTAGTGGCCTCTCCCTTCGGCCTTCCTGCCTCTGAGTTCGCGGTTCGGGGGCTTTTGTGGAGTAACTCGATTCAAAGCAAATAGTAGCCAGTTTATCACATGGATTTGTGCTAATTTTTCCATTTCCTCGCTCGCCTGGGGAGTTGTGAACCCGATCCGTATTGGAGTTGGGAGTTCGCCGGCTCTCGAGTTTCCAGAGTTTCTAAGTTGATTAAATTGAACGCGATTTGATTCGATTTTCAATTATACGACTACCGAAACACCGAGTGCCTCAAATCCATTATGCTAAACAAATACATCTCCTGTTTTTTCAGTTGCCACTGCGTGTCAGTTATCAATGGGAAGTTTCTCAAAAAGGGAAAGCCATGGAAATCACGAGGAGTTGGGCAAAGCTTTTTGATGCCCGTCCAAACAACTTCCTGGCACATCCTTTTGACTGTCTGGCTGTCTGTCGGATGATGGTGATGCAGTCGACTTCTCCTGCCCCCAAAAGAAATGTTGTTTTTGTTGTCGCTTTCGGTGGTTGCGGGTGCAAATGTTTATCGGCTTCAAAGGGATTCCCCGTCAGCCCGATCCGTCCGTCAGTTTGGGCGATTTGGGGTTTGTCACAACACGGCATTACCCAGACTCCATCGAAGAACGACATTTGAATGCAACATGTGTCCAGGATTTGGGCTTTGTTAATTTGCAACCCCCAGGTCTTAGGGGTGGAACGCCTGGCCGACTAATAGAATATGCTCATTATGGGATTCCGAGCTGAGTGGGTTTCAGTGTTCCGCGCATAACTCAAACTAAATTATTATAAATGAATTCATAATCTTCTCCACATCGTAGCTATTTTTGGGGGTGAAGGTGGTGGTTTAAAGTCCTTATGACTCCCCCAAAAAATGTCAAATATTCAAATGCGAGCGAAAGGATTCGCCATTTATTGAAGTGCCTGGCACTGATTGAATTTACTGCGCAGTTAACGCGGAGGATGGGAACTCACTCCCCTTACGGAAACTATAAATTTGTTAGGAATTCGCAAATGATATTTTTTAAAAGAATCCTTTTTTTTATAGTCATTTATGGAATTTAATCCTTTGAACAGTGAGTAAAAATTGAAAATTCAAACGGTTCGTTTTATAGAGAGGTATAATTTAATTTCAATTTAGCCAGTATCAAAGGAAATTCTGATGAATGGCTGTGTTGTAAATACGCAGACGTGTTTATATAGTTCAATGATTTTATTGATTGGTAAGTCCATGCATGTTTGTTATTGAATTAAATGTAGATGAGTAGTAGTCCATATAGATAGTAAATTTAATTTTAAAAAGCAGGGAACGTAACTGTTATAAGTTTTATTTTAAAAATCACACTTTAACAGTTATTTTCTGATTTGTAAAGTAAAACTCAAGGAATAACTGTTATTTTTTGAGTTTTATAATAAAAATTGACAAATAACAGTTATTCGTCGTGATCAAAAATAAAACTCAAACTTGATTTATGGCGATTTTGTGGGTAAACAAAATTTAAAAAAAATATAGGTATAAAATATGCGCGGTTGCCTTTTTATACCCTTGCAGAGGGTATTATGATTTCAGTCAGAAGTTTGCAACGCAGTAAAGGAGACGTTTCCGACCCCATAAAGTATATATATTCTTGATCAGCATCACAAGACGAGTCGATCTAGCCATGTCCGTCTGTCCGTCTGTCCGTCTGACCGTCTGTCCGTCTGTCCGTCTGTCCGTCCGTCTGTCCGTCTGTCCGTCTGTCCGTCTGTCTGTTTCTACGCAAACTAGTCTCTCAGTTTTTGAGCTATCGGGATGAAACTTTCCCAAAAGTCTTCTTTCTATTGCAGGTAGTATATATGTCGGAGCCGACCGGATCGGACAACTATATCTTATAGCTCCCATAGGAACAATAGGAAAAAAAAAACTTTAAAAAATTCTAGCTTCGGTGTTTTTTAAAATATTACCTTCTACTTTTGGGGATGTTATTTTTTGAATATATCTGAATTTCGAATTAATTATTTAAAAAATCGGACTATTATATCATATAGCTGCCATAGGAACGATCGGAAAATTAATGGAAAAGTAATAGGAAATAAATTCTAGCTTCTTTGGATTTTATTGTATTATCTTCTACTCTAGGATATGACTCTTTTTAAATATTTCCGAATTTCAATTTTAATTTAATCAAAATCGGACGGCTATATCATATAGCTGCCATAGGAACGATCGGAAAATTAATGGAAAAGTAATAGGAAATAAATTCTAGCTTCTTTGGTTTTTATTGTATTATCTTCTACTCTAGGATATGACTCTTTTTAAATATTTTCGAATTTCAATTTTAATTTGATCAAAATCGGACGACTATATCATATAGCTGCCATAGGAACGATCGGAAAATTAATGAGAAATATTAGAAAATTGAACATTTTTGCGATTTGTTAATTAATGGGAATGATCTGCAAGGGTATATAAGCTTCGGCTGGCCGAAGCTAGCTTCCCTTCTTGTTTAACAAATTTTTAGTAAGTTATAAAAAGCACGGGTATCATTTTTTTTAAATTATTTCATTTTTTCAAAAATGTCAAGGGAATAACTGTTATTCATAAAAATCAAAAAATAACAGTTATTTTTTGAGTTTTATTATAAAAATCAAAAAACAAAAATCATTACGGATTTGTAAACTACAATGGCTAATAAAAATTGTGGTGTATTTAAAAAATATTTAGGACCCTTCTAAGTGCGTGATTTATTTGTATGAAAAATTTACAATAACAGTTATTTTCGTTCCCTGTTAAAAAGTATAGAGCTACATTTCATACGGCTATTTTGAAAATTATTAAAGATTTAATTATTCTTTATTTATTTTAGATTCGGAACACACTGTAGTACGGGGATAGTTATGTGAAAGACACCTGCCTGGGAGTGCATTTAATTACCTTAACAAACGGTGGCAGCATCTATCTAATTATGTTTAAGTGCCGGCAACTGCACGCATTGTATGCTAATTTATGCAAATCGCAGCACAAATCATATCAATTCCTCTTGCATTTAATTGCACCCTTTCCACCGGTTATGTTGTGAAAAAATGCATTAAATTAGCCGAGTGCAGCATAAATTTCACACCGAAAATACGAAGAAAAATTGCGCTCCCAGGGCAATCCACTTGGCTGAAGCCATTGTCCCCGCTTTTCCGAGAAGGGGCTGTGGAATTGGCGGGGTGGTCGGGAAGCTGAGGGACAGACACAAAGGAAATCCCAAGCCAAGTTCGCTAAACTCAACGGCAGCATCTGCAGGCCAAAGCCAAGCGACAACAACAACAAAGACAGCTGAGTAGCTGTATCCTAGAGACCAGACAAAGGATAAACAGATCCCTGGCCTTTGCATCCTTTTCTGAACTGTGTTTATCAAACCCAAGTCGTGTTTGTGCTCCGACTCCACCTGATCCAAAGGTTTCATTTCTATTCAAATATTCTGGAGACTGCTCACTTGGGCGCAGTTTAAGACCCCAAACCCCAATCCCCCCATCCACATGACTTGGGGAAATGGGAATCTCCTCCGTGTGCAGGTTAAAAAACTCATTAGGAAAATCCTTGGGCGACGGAAATTAAATAAAATCCTATTAGGCGCTCTATTTGCTGCTGTGCCAGTGGGAGGCGGATGGGAAATGGGGAAAAGAGCGGTCTGGAAAAACTCCACACTTAATTTATGTGCACGCATTTCGTGCCCGTTACGACATTTCAGCACAGAACGAAATCTAATTATGATAGATAGCTCCACCCGACCAAAATGCCACTCGGCTTTCCTCCCCCTTCCATTTTTTTTAAGGGAAAAACACTCGCGTGCAGGTGCATTTTGTCACTTGGCCGGCTGACAACCGAAGATCTGCCTTAATAAAGACGGAAAAATAGGGAGTTCTCGAAGGGCGGGTCTTGGGAGGGGCCGTCTATATCCACATCCATATCCTAACACATTGCTGATCAAAAGAATCCGAAAATGCTTTGATTTCACAGCTCTCTTTTCGTACTTTCGCATTTCCCATTTCCGCATGCTCGGCTCTTTCCACTTGTGGATTGGGATATATTAAAAATAATCCTTTAAGAAGAAGGTATTAATATTATTATTTCACTTTAAATGATATTTAAAAAAAAAATGACATTAGA